TCCTTCGGGCGAGAGACTTTCTAGCGAAGCCGCAGAAGTCATGTAAGTTTGAAGTAACACAACGTTTCATAAAAGCTTACCTGATGTATAGCTCCGAGATGAACCGCCAGCGCTCACCTCTTCTTCGCCTACCTGCTGAGCTACGGAACAAGATCTACGAATACGCGCTCGGTGGTATGCAGCTTCGCATCTCCTACAGTAAGAGGAAATTCGCCCTCCTTTCTGCATTGTCTTATGATCCGTCCGTCTCGCTCACACCTCTCCATCGATTCGTCGGCTTGACGCTCGTGTCTCGGCAGCTCTACGCGGAGACCAAGATTCTACCATTCGAACTATGCACTATGGATATCATAAGGTCCTCTTTCTATCAAATAGAGAGACTTAACACCACTCAGCGTCAGGCCATATCAATCATACGTACACATTACATGAACGCTATAAGTGGCGCAGTATGGAAAATTTTGTGGTCAGAGGTCAGATTGCTGACGGGGCTAAAGCGCGTGGAAGTTTTCTGCTGTCCAACAAATTTGGGACTATCGGGGCGTATACATTTAGTCGAGGCTGTCGAGAAGGGACTCGATCGAGATGATGTAGACGTCGTGGTCGATTTTAGGAACTTTGTGAAGACTTCCGCTTAGCTGTCGCCACGAGGCCGTCGAATACATGGATGCATACGACCCCAGCTGGCCAATGAAATCTGGTCATGGCGTAGAAGCACATATTGGAGCAACAGATGGGAAAAAGTATTCTTTGGTTGACTGAAAGAGGACGGAGCCCTTCATCTGACAATAGCGAGCATTCTTTACATTACTTGCATCCATCTTCTGTATTCCGTGTGCCTGATGAAGCGAACGGTGACACAGAACCGCATATCCAACTTGCTCTTCATTCCCACGCGACAATGGAATGAATGCCTACGCAGAACCCGCAACACTGTAGTAGTAGCTTCACAGGGTAATACATAACAAACAAGTCACACCCTATCCATTCACCCAAGACTATCAACATCGGGCGTGATACAAAAATCTTGCTCTCTGTATTTGTTACCCCTGTCACACCTAAAGTCTACCTAACACTCTTCTGCAACTCAAAATATCCTACAACTTGCACTCAACCATGTCCGATAAAGAAGATATGATGGCCGAGGCAGATACAATGTACGTCTGAACGTTGAAATCATCATGACAAACCCCCATGCTGACGACATCAATAGCACACAACGCAACCAGCTCGAGTCGCCACTCCTGAAGCTGCCAGGCGAGATCCGCAACAAGATCTACAATTACGTCTTCTCCGTCGGCAGCGTCTACTTCGGTCGCTCATATCATCACTATCGCACGAGCGAGACAGACTACCAACCGGAAGGATGTGAGCCCACCGATCTACTAGAAGTAGTGTCGACCTGCCGCCAAATTCGCTCAGACACCTCTATGCTACTATTCAAGAACAACGTAATCATTATCGACGACCAAAAGATTTTCAAGATAGTTGAGCAGCTCGAGCCGTACCAGCTCGAAGCGATCAAAGCTCTAGAGATAATCTTCTACGACATAAAGGGCTGTATGCCGAACTTGACTACTTTGAGCAGAATGTTTGCCAGGGAGTTCAAGCAGTTCCTGGGGCTCGAGAGGATAAGCGTTAGGTTGATTTGTTGGCTCCAGGATGATGATGTACTTGAGCGCGAGTGCGAGGCATTTTGCGAGGCGCTTAGGAAGAATACTCGGCGTAAGCCAATTGAAGTTACAAATGCGTTGAAGCATGAAGACGACGATGAGGGGGAAACGGACGTGGATGAAGAAGAGACAACGTCCGACGAAGAGACAACGCCCGACGAAGAAGCTGAGCCTGAGGACGAGGGACTGGTGGGGATGACGATGAGTCTACATATATGAAATGTAAGTCAGCGGACACCAAGGCTATAGCGGAAGAGGACGACCCTATGGAGAAGTAACACTATCCTACTTGCAACTGTCGTCGATGAATATCTTGCATAGCACGACCTCACAGGCTGCTCCAATATCGATAGCAACACATGTATCACAAGAATAAATGCCTATATTGAGTCTATAACTGCCATCGTAGCTAACAGACCAGCAATGCGGATACATTATGCGTGCATGCAACAGCACCAACTATCTTCTCACCTTCCATGGAGTCGTAGCCACGACCCCAAGACTTCCTAAATTTCAGACCAAGCCCAACGCCAAACCAGCGCCATGCCGAGTGATATCAATATGCAAACTGTCGTAGTAGAAAGGAATGGAAACGCCCGCAATACCTGCAAATTCGTGTTCGCTAAATGCTATGCATGTCATGTCGTCACCGTTATCGTAGATGCTTAGACGCGGATTCCCGCTCCAGAACCCCATCGTAGCTTCCGCAGGCCGAGGCCAGTGCCCTTTATGCCTGCAGCAGCTTCCTTACCGCAGCGTCCGGCCTCGGAACCTGCGGTGCCAATCTGACCCATCGCCTCAGCATGTCCAGTTTCTTTGCCGACGACGTAGCCAGCTGAGAAACCAATGGCGCTGACGAGGACTACGACACCAGCGCTGACGACCCAGGTAAGCAGCGTCGGGCTGATTTCCTCAATCATCGGGGTTGTCTTGCGTGCCTTTTTGACAGTACGGCGGTCTTTGCTGCTGCTGCGAGCACTGGCTATTGGCGGACTGGCTTTGCGCTTGGACTTCTCGGAAGGGCTGCTACTGGTGCTGCATGGGGATGATGCGGCCTCTTCGGATATGTTGCCCAAGGCCACGGACTCTGGCACCATGCGGAGGGAGGATGGATCGACTCGTGTGGATGAGGGAGTGTTCGCGCGCGGTTGGCCTGGCTTCGGGAGGCCACGCACAGCGGCGGCAGCCGAGAGCAACGTGGATAGGCTGGCGCGGAGGGCCTCGTCGTGGTCGGGTTGGTAGTTGGGTGCCATGGCATTGTAAGGGTTATGCTGAGGGTAGGAGTGCTGTCGCTGTCCAGCCGGCCTCACGTTCCTGCGAGGTGTGTACAGGGTGCCGGACTGCGACCGGATAGCTTGTTGGTTGTTAGGGTGCGAGAAGGCGTTTGGCCGTGGCTGGAACTCCCGTCTTGAGGAACGTGGGTAGTTGACCGCCGTCGCATTCTCATCGTCATCATCTTCCCTCTCAGACATGGTCTCCGAAGACGCCACCGACTGCGGAGTTTGCCTCAAAGGTGACGGAGCGATGGCCTCGTTGGAGGATGTCATGACCCTGTCCGACTCGCTTTCGCTCTCTTCATACTCCTCCTGACTACTGTTTCCTCCCGCCGTGATGCGGTGTCCAGTCCCTATTGAGAACTGACCGCCGCCTCGTGAGCGTCTGTTGGGCCGCCTGTGCGCGTTGGAGTCGTGCTGCACCGTGAGGCCCGTAGTGATGATCTCGTCGGTCGCAGAGGATAGGGAGGTGGACGAAGGCGCCGATGCGAGATCAATCCATGACTCTGTGTACGATGTGTCAGCTGTTGCTCGACGTACAGATGCAGTGAAGCATTGAAAGAGAACGGGTCATACCCTCTGAGCGTTGCCTTGAAGACGCAGCGACATGTCGAGAAGGAGGCATGGCTTGGTCCTGGTGGTTCGCGTCGTCGGCCCCTATGTTCTGTCTGCCTGCTCGCGGTGGACGGTGATCGTGCATCGCACCCTGGCCTTCACAAATCCGAGCCTTGAAAAGAGCTCTGCGGCGCTGGACCTCAGCAATAGTCCCTATATCCCCGAGCCCTAGGTTGACCGGTGGTGTGGAGGTATGCGCTCAAGTGGATCCCAAGGGCCGTTCCGACTTCGGTTCTTTGTTAGGACTGGGAACGCTACAGCTTGTTGATCGAAGCAAGAAAGGCCAGCGCAGCTCTGAAACAGCTTATCGGGGCCCAGAAACAAGGCACGGCACCCAGAGCCACCGAATCCTGTCGCGGCGACGCTGCGAGTCGTCGTTGGAGATAAGGTAAGGCCGCGGACGAGCTGACGCTATGTAGACTGGCTCCCCAACTTGCGCACGGCCAGGGTCTGGGCGTAATGACGTTTCGTGGGGAAGGGTGGGAAGCGGAGACCACGGTAATCGCCTTGGGCGGGGCGCGAAGGAACACGATCGAAGCGAACGTAGCAAGCAGAAGGAGACAAGTTGATGTAAGGAGAGATATCGCAAGGTCGAGGCTGGAGTATGTAGACGGCTGCTCGTTCCTGACCCCGTGTCCCGTCTGGTCGTTGGCGTATGACCATTGGCAGTAGGTGTGGGTGACTGACGAATCAGACGTCGCTCACTCCCCTTCCTATCCAAGCCTGGCGAGTCTAGACGTGCTCACCTGCCTTTATCCAGGACATGCGCATCTACCTCCTGAGCGCATTTGCCCTGTGGTCTGCGGTGTGCGAGACATGGTCGCGTAGTCGCGCAGCCTCATCGCTCAGTGCTACGTACAACCATGCCAAAGTCTATACAGATCCATCATCACTCCGCCCTCCTCGACGCTTGTTTACCACACGCTATCTATAACGTCATTATCTGGGGTGTGAAGCGAGTCGAGTTGCGCCACGTAGACTTTGTTCTTCTTCGACATGGACTGGACAAGGGAGGCCAGCTCTCCCGTGCATGCCTTGCAGGAGATTCGCGTCCTCCAATACCGCATACTGTAGGTTCGCTCATCTGTATCGAGTTCAAGTTCTCCTTTCCTTGATCCCCATACTGCTTCTGGAGTACGTCACAGGCTTGGTATGAACAACTGGGGAGACCTTGCAATGCAAATAGCGATCCTACGAATGAGATGCAAACACACCGTCCAGCTCGGTGTCCAGTTCGCCGAAAGTCAATTTCGTATCGTACAGGTATGGAACATCGACTCCGATCCATGCAGATATCATACCACTGTCATACATCCTCCTCTATGCGTGCGGGTATTATAGCAAAATCGTAAGCCGAGCCGCAGGCTTAGGGAAATCCAAAATATATCGAAATGCGTTCCAGTTCATCCAGACCAACCCCCCATGTTTCGTGAAATCTCTAGTTCTTCTTCTCTTCTTTCTTCTCCTCCTTCTTTGTCCTGCTCTTGAAAAAGTCCGAAATACCGTCCTTGAACTTCTCCCAGGGTGTGCGATTCAGGTGGTTACTGAGTTGGCGGTACTTGTACATCTCAGCCCAGCAGTCGCGACCCCATTCGCAGCCAGCCATGTTGACCATAAAGTCGCGATCTTGCTCTTGGTAGTGGATATCGGGGTTGTCGCCATTCTCACCGCATGCGCCTGGTGGGAAACTCATGATTTGGCGTTGCTGGATAAAGGCAACGTGAGGCCTGATCCAGGGCTGGTTCTGGTACATGTACTCGAAAGCGTCCTGCTCCTTGTGCTCCCACTCCATATGTTTTTGTTCGTAGCCGACAGGGTCCCACCAGATGTCAAGCAGCCTGTCGGTCCACGCGCTTCTTCGCACCATGAATGAGCCCAGATTGAAACCGCCACAGTCTTGGGGTAAGAGCATGTTGACAGAGTCGACCTTGCCGTCTCCCACTGGTGAGCGTGTCTCGGGGTCGAGGTATTCGTCGGTCAGAGGATGGGTGATGTTGAGGGGGTTGTAAACGTTGATGTCGCGATATGTCACGTCTTGTAGCTGCTTGAAGACATGCTTCTGAAGGGAGTATGTCGGCTCCATAATGAACGTGTTCGTATCAAGCCACCAGAACCTGCGAGATATTAGCCTGGACCACATCATCTTCACGCAGCACGTACCATTCAGCATGCGGGTACTTGCGCATGGCGTTGCGAATGGTGTCAACCTTCTCCCAACTTTCTCTCCACTCGTGCGCATAACGCTTCTTGGTGCTCATGTCTACGATCTCCAATTCGTAGCCCCAATTCCTTGTGTACTTCTTCTTATTCTTGACGCTGTCGCGTTCGATAGCCCATTCGCGGGGACCCTTCCATTCCATAACACCTCCACCTTGGTTCGCTGCGAGTATAACGACGTATTTGCTGCCGCCGCCGAACCATGCGGACCGTCTGTACATACGACGGATGGCTAGATCTGTCAATGCCAATCGCGAGAGGGGGGGCTTGGAGGAGGTGATGACTTACGTGTGTTTGAATTGTAGAAAATGAAGAAGAATACTACGAATAGTACCAATGCGACCCGTTTCCGCAGACGCCATATTGTCCAGGCTATGCCATTCAAAATACGCATTACTTTGTTTTGCGACCGCCCACGACCTAGTTTCTCCTTGTCGCCGTGGTTGAAGGGCAAGCTTGTAGAGATTCTGCGAAAGTGCTTGCCGAAGAAGCCTTGGTTTCTCGGGGTGAAGCCGGGATATCCTTTCACCTCAGCACTCCGCTGTTGAGCCGATGCCCAAGTGACATTGTGTGAAGAGGAGCCATTCGGGTAGGGGCTCGTCCGCCCACTGTTGTCGTATGGGGTATTCAAGCCCGGGCTCGACCATCCGCCTGGTTGAGGCGAAGGCGATCTCGACATTTCGAAGGCGCCTGGCGTGCCAGGAATGGAGGGTAAGGCTTCGCCCAGCGAGCGGCCGTGAAGACCGCTGGTTGTGCCTAACCTGCTTCGCGACTCTGCACTGTCCGGAAGGTTGATATTACTGGGCGGCAATTGCCTTGCAGCAGAAGAGCGCCTCCTGCGTTGGCCACTTGAAGCGGAGAAGGAGGATTGGGAAGCCAGCGTGACTTTGGCGGCGTTGGACGGGCCGGGTGGGGATAGAGGAGCGACGCCGACGTGAGGGTCGTGGCGACGGGACAGTCAGCAACAGTCGCCGCTGTGATTCGATGGCAGCTGCTCGAGCGTGCGGTACTGCAGAGGCAGCGTTGTGGTATTACTGAGGACAGCTGGCGGCTGGTAGCCAAGTTCTCGAACGGCAGGAGCGCGGCGGTCGCACTTGAAGCGGGAAGGAGCGTCGGGGAGAATGCGGTGCAACGTCCAAGGCTGTCGTCTCGTCAATGGCAATTGATATAACGAGGGACGGGAAACAATAAAATACTACAATACGTCGGGGTGTATAGCTGCTGGAAAGGAGTCTGGCGATAACCCAATCTAGGTCTTCGAGTTCGCTGCTTGGCGTGGATCCAAAAGGAGTACGCTAATTCCGTCTTGCGCGCACCTCCAGGATTGACTACCTTTCAAGACTCCAGTCTACTCCGCGGCAACGATAGACATCTGCTCCGCGACCTTGTGTGGCTTCAATGCGTCCCGTGGAGCGCGAAAGACGCTGATATACAGCAGCTGTGGCATCGTGTGGTGATATTAATAGTTCGTATTCGGATAGCGGCACCCACATCGCCAGCAGGCGCGCAAGACCGACTTTGATAACAGCTGTCATGAGTTGTTGTGCGTCCAGCAACTCCAAATGAGGTGTCTGATGTTTCCCAAATGATTCTGGCACGTTGCAGTGTGTTTGCATGTGCCCCGAAAGGTTAAATGCGAACGTGTGGTCGCAGCTTCGGCTGACCACGTTGTGCACGCTTAAGCCGTGGCCGCCTAACGGTAGACGTCGCAGAGGTATACATATCACTATATGCTATACAGCCTGATAGTGTGTTCACGAGAGTACCTATAACCGGCGATGGAGTCGCGTCTATATAGTGGTGGTACAAAGAGGAAGAGTCCCAAGCACCTGTTCGGCTGAACACCACTGACCCAATCTCCACGAGTTCATCACTGCTACCACTGACTGCGACAGGCTCATGAAATGGAGAAGAGCCTCCTCAGGTACTTATAAAGGCATCCACCAAAGAGTAGACAGGGAAATGGTCGGCGCATACAGACCGCACTGACGGCTAGCTAGCGCCATCTTGGCGGCGCCTTTCTCGTCCAACGGTTGGTGGCAGCCCTGATTGATCTGGCGCTTGAGTTACGTCGTCCTCCCACCTTACTGGTCCATCTCAACTTTCACTAGACACGACATCCAGCTATGCTTCTGGAGCGTCTCAGATTTCGCATAGTGTTGTACAATTCCAGCCCAGCGAATCCACGGCGGTTACTGAGCCTAAAGCCTGGATACATGGCGCTCTTCATGAAGCAGATCCACCTGGTGGCTCCAATCACCTTCACTCGGGACCCGTTGACAACGCCTGTTGCGTCCAGCACGCTTTGACTCATCCATTCGTAGTCGCCAGTGCTGCCACATTACAGGCTGGAGCAGAACTCTAGGTGAAGGAGCTATGCACTATGCGGTATGGCAGCAGTTTGCCTGGTAGGCGGCAAGGCCATCGATGGCCATGTAAAGATCCGGGGTTGCGTGTTCGCCCAAGAGCAAGAGCCTCACCATTCTCCTTTTGCTGTGCCTTTACCGTCTTCCGTACCTTTATATCACTCTCTTTAACAGTTTTCGCTGTCACTTGCTTTATGCCGTTTTCCTCGTTTTCTTTTTCCATCGTCACGTAATAGATTTCGGGCCCCGCGACACACCTCCACAATAGCATCAACAATAGCACAGCCACATAACGTCTCGGCTTCACAATCACTTCGACGCCGACATAAGCCATTGTTGGTCTCACCTTCGTTTAGTATCGAATACCCACCGACGGAAGACACCGACGGATAGCACCAGCGATGAGCTCGACGAGGAGAGACGTATACGGCCAGCAGCCATCTCTCAAGCCATCATCGAGGTCGACATTCAATACCGCACACCAAACGGACTACGACTCACAGGTGGATCGAGAAGAACAAATATCGGTGCACTTCAACGATGAGTTTGACGGAAGCGCAAACCTAGACAGGTCAACGTGGGACACCGAGCCCCATGTTGAGTCGCAACGAAGAACGTCAAGACACAACTCGCGATCATTCGCAGGACGCGTTTCAAGGCAGAAGAGTCGGCGGCGAGAGCTTCTGGGAAGACCGGCGAAGCCTGGAATCACTGTCGATACGAGCTTTACAAGACATAGAGGCACCGAACCCCACCAGGTCTTCCCCCAAGGTGGAGAGAGAGGAAGCGGGTCTGTTCGCAGGTCGCCATGGTTTGGCTTAGGACGATCTTCGACCAGGAATAAGGGTTTGGGTATCACCAAGGGTACACCTCAACCGAACAGTACACATCGGAAGAAGCCCAGCGTCGACCGGAATGATCTAGACACAGCCATTTCGATGACACCCGGCGGCAAGTCGTGGCAAGAAATATCACCTTGGGATCGACGTATTCCAATCGGAATATCGGTGCCCACCGACAGCATCTCCGACTTCAGCACGCTGCAAGCCAACCGACCTCGCGCTGGCAGTGACGCTACTCTTGTGACACCAAGCATTATCATCACTCCCGCAGCAGTGAAGTCCGTTTGGTCTCCAGATACTCCCTTCACAGAATCCGATTATACGCCGAGCATTTACTCTCGTTATCAATCGACTTTTGCGAGCTCGAACGTTCCTCCGGTCCCAGCTCTGCCTGCTGGTATGTCACAGGTACCAGGCCCTAGTGCATCCAGAGACACACAAGGAGCGACTGGTCACGCCAGGAACGACACTTTGGATTCAGCAGGGACTGCCTTTGAAGAAGAGGACGATGACTCTAAAAGGAAGGATCGCATCATGTCTACCAGTACCGTCTTCGAAGAGGACGAAACACCTCTAAGAGAAAGAAACGTCGAGAACTCACTGGCTATTGACACTTCTATGGTGCCCACCCCACGACGATCACAAGGTTGGTGGAATGTCATCACAACGCCATTTGTTATGACACCGAAATCATCAACCTGGACCGAACGTGGTGGGGACCGAACACCTGATGTGCCGATGGTTCCTTTCCAATATGGTACCCGAAAGGCAGACGAATCGAACCCACTTCCAAACACATCCAACAACATGGCGGCCACAGGATCCAGTGCTCCAGTGCAGGAAGAATCGGAGAAAGCCGTAGCCTACTCGTCGCAAGAAGCATCTTCCGGTCCTCACCGTGTTACGTCGCCACTTTCTACTATGTCAGCCTCGCCAGTCGTTGCTACGGCCGCCATCGGAACCGTCTTGATGCCCCGTCAGGTCGAGGAGCCACGACAACAGATCAACGTCAACATTGAACTGCAAGATAGGCGACCGATGCCGGACAACTATTCCGTTCGGGCTAATTACCCACCACCTGCACAGAACTTGCACACGTCAGCGCCAGCACAACAAGTGAAGAGGGGAGTGTCTCCATCCGCGAATGCCAACAGTTCACAGCAGAGCTTGCCGGTATTTGCGCCGCCACCCAAGTTCGCCCAGAAGGCCTCACACTGGAGCTACGATAACGTCAGTCGTTCCAGCTCACAAGCGTCTTCACCTGATCTCAAATCACGAAAGAAGCATCGCAGAGTCTGCAACATGATGAGCCTTTGGCCGTTTGGGAAGAAAGGAATCCAAAAGAACCAGGATAGCACGAAGGAGAAGAAAAAGAAGCGAGGCATCTGCTTCTGGGGCTGTTGCTGTTGTCTGATCTTCCTCATACTATTGGCGATCATCATCCCTCTCATTGTGGTCCTCCTCAGGAAGGGCAACGACGACAAGCCCACGGCAACTCAGCCAAGCGCAGATGTTGGCAACCAGTGGCTGAACCTGACCGACTACCCTCCCATACCAACGGGTATCTTGACTGTTGCGCAACCCGAAGCTGTAGAGGAAGAAAGCGGCTGCGTTGCGCCTACGACGTTGTGGAGCTGTGCACTACCGAAAGAGCTTCAGCAGTCCGTTGAGCCTAACAAGCCCGACCAACCGAACTTCAAGATCGAAATCACGTTTGAGAATGGCAGTGCGGCTGAGTTGCCAAAGTCTCAACGAGCAAAGAGGGCGGCAAATGCAGTCTCCGCTGGTGCTTTCATCCGATCACTGCTACGTGCACGTGCTGCACCTTCGCCATCTCCTGCGCCTCCATCGACTGCTGACATGAGTTTTCTGGGACAGACCACTGACGGCAATTCTGCGCCGTTCGAGGGTGAGGAGACTGGCCTGTTCATCAGCATGCAAGATCCTACTGTCAGCGCATCGCGGCTGATGAAGCGTGCCGATGCGAGCGATCCGACAAACATCACCGCGGCGATCCCACCACCGATGTTGGCTTCTGACGGAACTGCCGCGCCTGCGAACTTGCTGCCTTTCCCATCTGCGCAGCCTCTACGACTGTACAATCGCGGAAAGGACAATGAGCACTACGGCTTCTACAACTACTTCGACCGCTCCATTTTCTTGAAGCAGATTAACGGCACCAACCGTGGTGGCAACCCTGCAGACGTCGACGGAGGGAGTGCAAAGGACGCCGCGAAACTGAGGTGTACGTACTCGCAGACACGCTTCCTGGTACAGATCTGGACACGCAGCAAAGAAAGCAAGCCACTGCTACAGAACTCGGCCTCAGGCGCATCAGACGTGTTCAAGCGGCCAGGCACCTTCCCTTACCCAGTCACTGTCACTATGGACCGTCACGGCGGCGACCCATCGAAAAAGAACCTTTATTGCTACGAAATGGAGGATGACGGCTCCGTCAAAGACGAAGAGTCGAAAAAGTCGTTCCAGTTTGAAGACCGCGGGTTCGGAGGCAACCTTGTCAAGGGCACGCAGGGACAAGGAAGTGTCAGCGGACCCATCGACGGTGGGACTGGCGGCTGCCGATGCCAGTGGCAGAACTGGTTGAGTTAAGGGTCCACTCACTCGGGACCCCAGCATGAGTTTTCCTTTGTCGAACGAACACTTCCGGGTTGATGGAACTTGCATAGCGTTTGGCTTTTGCGCGTAGAGGATACTGCGCCTTTTCATGTCTCTCACTTTTGTTATCGAATTTGCAGCCTCTCTCGTCGGCGACCAGAGTAAGCTCGATTCTAATACTAACCCACTGGATGGCCTTCTTGTATAAAAATATCCTTAGTTTGGATCTCTAGTTAATACATATTGATATCAAATTTCAAACACCGAACAGTTCACTTCCACCGTGCATGGTCGCTAAGCCTAGCTGTAGCCGTAGTGTAAGTATGTGTTTGGTCCACATGCGGCTCGGCGAGCCATTTCGAGGGATTGTGGATACTGTGCAGTACCGTCGGATGGTACCGTGGCATCTCCGCTGACATCCTGGGCCATTCGTTTTGAGAGCTGAAATGCCGAGTATCATATGTGTGTATTGGGTGAAGGGAGAATGATTACGCTGGTGGTAGTGGCAAAGACATGATGCCGGTAGTTCCATGACAGGGTTGGTATTGCATTCTCCTGCAGAATCGACGACAGGTTCATTATCCCGACTCTACTGCCGTGGCCGTTCGAGACGAATCCTCGGATATGAAAGTCGTTCCTTGTAGTCCCACTTCGGGAGTAAGCAACAGAGATTTCCTCGGATATGCGTCTGTCAGGCGGCAGCACGTACCCCAATACGTTCGGAGATAATAAGGGCAATGTCACTTGGCCAGCGTTATTGGAGTTGATAGGGACGTGGGAGAATGGCAGCGGAGGAAGTGTGGATACTCCGCAGAACTGACGAGGGTGCATGCGGCTAAGCGGTCTAGCAGCCCTGCACGGCCCAGATTCTCGGACCCCGCCATGTCCACTGATCTCGCCCACGTTCTCTGTGCGCCTTTCTTATTGGCTCTCCAGCGCCTCATCCCTTGAAGACCTTTCGTCGCCTCGTACGTGCAAAGTAGTGGCGACGCGGGTCAAAGTGCGTCAATGGCGCGGGCGGCCTGGGCAATTGATCTGTTGCCATGCCTCCTGATCGCAGGCTTGGTGGTGCTTGTCCAAGCCCGCAAAAGGCTTGTCCAAAACGTCATCGCTCCAGCAGCTATCGCGAAGTAAACCTTGGTTACACCGGAAATCTGGGGACTGGGCGGATGTCCATGGCACAAAAAGGGTCTCTCAGAACGACAATCTCTAGCACTATGGGGCATAGAGCAAGGTACATAACAGTTGCGCTCGCTCTCGGCCCAATTAGAGGCTGCTGCTTGTGCCGAAAAGGCTGGGATTTGCTGTCGCGTGAGCTCCTTCCGGACTGGGTGGGCCCTCCAAACTCGTAGCATACTCGCGTCCGTAACGTTCTGCCCCCGCCGGAAGCGACGGTCTCTACACTAGAATTTTCTTCCCATCCGTGGTCCCTTATATAGCCTGGTAGCATCGGCGTCTTGCGAAATGCTCAACTTTGTTCACCCAAGTTCGCGCTCTCTCTGCGCCCCTGCCTCTTCTCTGCCTCCCGGCTGAACGCGTGGGACCCTCTGACCCTCAGTTCTTACGTACTGCGACCCTCAAGAACAAAAAAGCGCACTGCCACCACGTGAAGGCGCGTATTCATCATCAATCAGCGCATACACACTCCCGGCACTCGGTTTCGTCATCGGACCGTCCGGCTAGTACTAGGATCTGGCAGCGTGCTGAATCGCAGATCCCATCCACCACTCAGGAGCCACCCACGTCGAACGTGGTACTGCTCTGCATTGTACGTGGGACTACTCGCGCTACAGACACCACCGGGTGATCGGTATCCCTGTGGGACAATTAGCATTCTTGCATTACAACCAAAGCGCATATAAGCTTCACTAGGACCCGCGCTTCCGGGCAACGCTTTCACCAGCCATCCCCACCATCAGCATACAACAACGAGATCGCCTCGATCCTCGTGAACTTGCTGCAATGCCGGACCTTCGCGATCCTACGCCACCTTCCCTCCGGGATTACGGTATCGCTGCACCCCATGGACCCAACATGACTGGCGAGCACCAAGCAACTCAGGACATTGACATCCGGAATGACATGAGCGAAAATGAATCGAGCGTATTCCACGCCCTGTTGCACCCGGACGACCTCTACAATGCCAACGGCACCTACTGGGCAGATCTGCCCCTGGGGCAACGGGTCAAGTTCATCGGCCAAGTCGACAAAGCTGAAGCGAAAGCCGAAGCGAGCTACTTCTGGGATATGTTCAAGAAGGACCCGCTTGCGCCTATGGGTCACTACTTCCGAACATGTGTGATCCCCGGTGCTGGTCTTGGTCTCGAGGGGTGAGTTCTACGATACTGTAGCTTAGATCATTACTAACAAGAATTTAGATACGTGCTCTTCTCTATTGGTAACGTCAGGCCTCTCTTCCAGGCTGCTTTCCCAGAATGCTGGAATGATCACGAAATCTGCGACAAGACCTGGCTCCAGGCTGTCGACTACCTAGAGATCTGTGGTATCATTGTCGGTCAGATCCTCGTTGGTATTATTGGTGACTGGCTCGGTCGTCGCTTTGGTCTCATCCAGGACGCCGTCATCATGTTTGTCGGTCTTCTCATGCTCACCGCCGCCTGGGGTGTTACCCAGAACGGATGGGTCATCTGCTATGTCTGGGCTCTCTTCTTCTACGGTATCGGTGTCGGAGGCGAATACCCGATGACTGCAACTGCTGGTATGGAGAACGCCGTTGGCTCTGGTAAGGTGTCCACCAAGGACGACCGTCTTCACCGTGGTAGGAAAGTCACTAGTGCTTTCCTGATGCAAGGTTGGGGACAGTTCTTCAACCAGGTCATTTTGATCATCTTGCTCCTCATCTTCCACGGTGGATCATCGCCCCCGTACTCGAAAACCTTGGCTCAGTGGACCTACCGCGTGTCCTTCGCCATCCCCGCTGTCGGCACACTCTGGCTCGTCTACTTCCGTTACTATAAGATGAAGTCCGCCTCAAAGCAGCTCGCGCTGTCAAAGAAGAAGTCCAACGTCACCGGCTACGACGTCCAGTCTTTGAAGCTCACCTTCACGTATTTCGGGCCCCGTGTCCTAGCTACTGCGGGAGCTTGGTTCGCCAACGATGTTTTCTTCTACGGTAACAAGCTCTTCCAGAACCAGTTCATCGACATCATTACGCCTGGCAACAAGTCCGTCATGACCGGCTGGTTGTACAACTTGATCAACGTCGGTGTATCGCTATGTGGCTACTACCTCGCTTCCCTGCTCATCGACAACAAGTTGTACGGCCGCAAATGGATGATGATCGTCGGTTTCCTGGCTGACTTCGTCCTCTTCATGATTCCCGGTTTCGCCTTCGAATACTTCACCAAACCCGAGAACATTCACGGTTTCCAGGCCATGTACTTCTTGTCCTCCTTCTTCAACCAGTTCGGACCCAACAGTGTTACTTTCCTCGTCGCTGCCGAGGTCTTCCCCACACCGGTCCGCGCCACTGCCCACGGATTCAGCGCTGCGTGCGGTAAGGCGGGTGCCCTGCTCGCTGCCGTCCTGTACAACTACATCGACACCCAGACCAAGTTCTACTTTGTCCCCTGGTTCGGTCTCGTCGGTGCTCTCCTTACTCTGCTTTTCCTCCCAGACACCACTGGCCTGGATCTCAAGGAGCAGGAGCGTCGCTGGGCTTACATTCGCGCCGGCAAGGAGCACGACTACCACGGTATTGCCGTCCACTGGAAGCATATGTCCTGGTGGGAGCGTTTCCGCGGCCAGCACAAGGACTACGATGCCAAGCTCGACTACGAGCAGAAGATCGCTGAGATGCGCACAGATTGGGTCGAACGCCAACAGCACAAGTTCTCCGAGAAGAACGGCTGGGAAGGTGTTGAGGCGGATGAGGACGACCACGCCGACGTGCACAACTACTTCAAGCGTACCACACCTGGCTCATCGCACGGCCCTGAGCCCATGATGGCACCCAAGACGGTGTCGGAAAGTGACTCGGCGGATGAAATTAGGCGGGAGAAGGAGCTGTAGTGGAGCTACGAATTTGGAGTTTCGTTGTAGATCCGATGGATAAAATGTTGATTATTAGCGTTATCGTTCTTTTTAGCATTACAAAGGCGTTTCTATCGTCTTGCGCTCGACGCAGAGGTTGTACCATGATACATATAATGAAGATCGTTATGACAAGTATGTACTTGGACCCATCCAGACCGTTTCCGTTCCCGGCCTGAGTTGTTGAGTTTGATGAGGAGAGCGGCGCGGCAAAAGCAATCATTGACAGAATCTCGGTGCGTTGTTGAACTCGATCAGAAGTAATATAAACGCGCCCGGCTAAGCTTCTCTGATACACGACGTGCAGTCGTGACCGATGTTGAGCATGCATACATAAAGTTGTGCACGCACAGCAGTCGCTTGGACAGAAAACCTCTGTTCGGCTGTTCGACCCAGCCAACAAGACAGCCACCGGCGCCTAGCCCCGGGCGCAACCCAAACAACAGCCTCTGGTTTCACGAGCGACACCTCGGGATGACACAACAGATAGGCGGACGGACACCTGCAGTTGGCGACGCACATGAAGAAACCTTACCGCAAACCTTCACAGGTTTCGGTACACGCTTGGTTTCAGCGGTCAGCCATGGTGGCAGGACGTGGTAATTGGGAAAAGGGCAGGCTGGGTGGTAGCCCGGGCAACTATCACCCACCCGCTTTTTCTCCACGATGCGCGCGGCGGTTTGGCGGTGACAGCTGCCTGAACTTCGGGTCGCCGGCGCTACACCGGTGTACAGTTGGCAGCTTGGGAACCGCAGCAACAAGGCTGGGTGTCTGGTGTCAGTCGTGTCTTGTGCAGATGTCTACGGCATTGGGACCTGCGCAAGTGCAGCTTGTCAAATGCACGTCGTAGCGTCGGACAAGACGGTGTGGACAGGGTGAATGAAAGGAATCTTCCCGAAAGCTTTCGCGGCTTTTTCGCCGAACAATCTGCAGGCGCAAGATTTGCAGGCACTCTCCTTCAGTGTGCTTCCATCGCCGTCTTTCCGTAGTTGCGCCGGTGCACCCAGCCTCACCATGTTGTTGCGACGAGATCGAGGACATGTCAAACACGAGATGGGAAGGAGAGCATATGACGACGTCATGATCTCCTTCTCCTTGAATCCTTATCACGTATTACGGCAGCGGCAAGCAATCGTCGTTGCGAAACGAGATTACGAGCGTGGTCCTTGCATGCTGGTGAAAAGTCCGGAGATGGGGGGACTGGGGTGTTTCTGGCCGTGCGCTTCATTCCCTTTAGCCTTTTGCTCGCATTTGCCGATGAATGCGTCGACATGTAGGTACAGATTGCACGTTGTTTGTTTCAATATATTGTGTTTGCATGGGGTTTCAATCGAGATTCTTGGGTTTTCCTCGGGCCATGGAACAGATGGTTTAGTGTTGGTGGCAAATGTTCCTTACTTAGAAGCAAGCTGCAAGGGACGGGGATGGATCATCAGGAGAGGGAAGGAGAGGACCGAAGTGCTGGCAGCATTGATCGATTGAATGATTGCGCGTTAGCGACCAGAGCGAAAACAAGGGCAAGGGACACGCGTCACCGCACCCACGATCACGGGATTCAACAAAACCGATGCAGCTGCCGAGGATGGCTATGAGCAATCCCAGGCACCTGTTGCTAAGGATAGTAAAAACGAAGCAGAATCGCAGGCCAGCAGACGAAACACGATCAGACAGCGGTGCGTAGGCAAACTGCTGCCAACAATAACCGTGAGGGACGCATAGGGCCGCCAGCTGTACCGGGCAACGATCTGCATGCGTTATGGACGGGCTTGAGGCGATCGAATGGTGACGGACCTGCCCCTGGCACTATGGTTGCTAGTCGCACGGCCACTGGCGGGAGGCGTTTGCTGGCGTCGCGATAAGGTGCGCACAAGCGAGTTGCAGTGGAGAGATGTTGCGTGGCACTGCGAAACGGCCCTCTTCTGAAGTCAAACTCTTTCGCCTGCTTGCGCGTTGGCGATGGCTGGTGTGGCTGGCGGTCTGGGAGAGGGGAAAAAGCTGGTTACACGTCGAAGTTGGCGGTAGTCAGCGACATGGAAGCTCCCAGGCAATCAAAACGAAGCAATTCGGCCGCTTTCACCAGCATGACAAGCTCTCTCGCAGGGGACTAGCCTCGCCCAACGGTTCGAGTGGGCCAACTTGGATAAAATTCTTGGAACGATGCTTGTCCATCTGCCAATCGCGGACTCGCCTCGTGTCTGTGCGCCGGGGCTGGGTTGTTCTACTCTTGTCGAAACACACGGGCGCAAAGCCTCTCCAATTACTCTGCCTACCACGTCCATGGGCGCACAGGGCACTTTTGGGTACGGTGGGTCCGCCCGACCCCATTGCGACACAACAGCCGCAAGTCTTGCGTGTGTGTTGCCCTGCGGCTCCAGGCGAATAAATAGATAGCCCGTTTGCTGCCTCCCTTTCTCTTCTTCATCCACTCACTCCAACGCACAAACAGATTCCACCCGCTTCAACTCTCCAATCTACGAGTCGATCACTACACAGTCGCTATCTTCAAGTAACTACTACCAACCCACATCATCAACATGCGTTTCTCCATCGCCTCCGTTGCCATCATGGCTGGTGCCGTCGCCGCTGTTCCTCAGTACGAGGTCCAGCCCATCTCCCAGATCTCCGACGGTCAGATCCAGGCTCCTCCTGCCACCAGCATGATCCCCGCCGTCCCCATGCCCTCTGGCTCCATGGTCTCTGAGATCCCCGCTGTCCCCATGCCCTCCGGCTCCATGGTCCCCTCTGGCGACATGACCTCCACTGGTAAGTTTCTCTGCGACTCTACTCACTCTATCACGATACTAACAACACCATAGTCGCTGTCACTGAGACTGCTTCCGTCACCTCGGTCGTCGTTGTCCCCACCGCCACTCCCGTTGTTCCTGGTGGCTCCATGTCCGTCCCCATGGGCTCCAACACCACCATGGTCACCGGTACCGGCTCCATGACCGCCACTGCCTCCACCCCCGCCTCTGAGGAGACCTCTTCCGGCGTCGCTGGCAGCGCTACCGAGAGCGGTGGCATCCCCGAGTCCACTGGTGCCGCCGCCGGCAACATGGTCTCCTTCGGTGGCCTTGTCCTCGCCATCGGTGCCGCCATCGTCGCATAAGCGCCTCACCACCACCCTTTCTTTCCCCTTCTTCACGATATACCACCAACTCAGTCACGATTGGGTTGCATGTTTGTTTAAAAGCAACACGGAGTAACAACACATTTCCAAGCATTAATGGCGGGGATTTTTAATTCGGGGAACATTCACGTCGGGGTTAGGGGTTACGAATGATTCTTCTTCTCATGTATCCTACTAATGCGACAATGTTCCAACGGGGATGCATACACATGGCTTGAGATGTATAGATAGTTAATTCAACTGAGATATCAGTCGCCGACAGGCGGTCTGAAACAAATTTTACTTCCTACGTCTGTGATTGCGCTTGAACAATGCTCTGTCTTCATGACGTGTAGTTCAGAAGAGTTTTCCTGGCTACCTTGTTTGACACATGTGAAAGCTCTCGACATATGCAGCTCAGCGCACAGGAAAGTGGTACCTGGAACCGACCGCGCCAACGTATGCAATATAATCGCCGACCTCCCAGCTGCCCCTGCCTCGGTCAACCCGCAAGACGCGACTTGCCTCCCCTCTTTGCGCGACCACACGACCACACCTACTCATCTTACTGCTGCTGCCCCCGACAGCGACGTACGTCTCATATCGCGCGTCCTCCCCTCAGCGCAATACGAGAAAGACAGCGGGCGCGCGGGCGACCCCGAGCCAACGAGCTGCCCCCAGCGCATTAGCTCCACACCACTAGCCAAAACGCTACGTGGGCAAGCTTTGCAACTAGAAAACGGTGGAAATGGCACTTGGCAGGTTGGCTGAACTAGCACCGGTCAAGTGCAGTGTGCGTCTCAACCAATTTTATCATCCTGGAGCAGAGCTAAAGGGCGGAGTTTGGAATTGTCGTGTGGTAGTGTTGGTGTATATGTTTTGGCCCTGTCTAGATGGGTGTGGTTTGGTTGGAATGGTAGGGAGCTAGAGGTGTCCCCACATGTTCATGCTTGGATGACGGGTGAGAGGGTTCTGCGGCGTCTTGTTCCGACGAATGAACGTTTGCGAGTGTGAGAGCGAGTGTGCTGTCAGAATCAATGTGTGGGAGTTGGTCGGGAAGTTGCGTAAGTGATGTGAATATTCCGGGTATCATTCTAGTTATACATGTATCGACTACCTTGCCTCCACAACATGCGTCAACAACTGTCCGAACACATTCAACCCTTCTTCCGCTGTGAAAATGCGCTTGGGTATCTCAAATTCGACTTCTGGCTCCTTCTTCAGATCACGGTCGAGTTCGACATCGAGCAGCGCTGTGTAGGAGTGGTCCAAGAAGTCTTCCAAGTTGTACGCTCGCTTCGTGAATTGCTCCGAAATGATCTTTGCCAGCGTCGCAACGTTGGGGTGGTAATGCGACTGTAGTGCCTCTAACTCCCAGACACTGCTGTCAATGGCGTTTGTGAGGAGAGGGTCCAGCTCCTCCATGTCGAACGGGTCGTCCATGCCTTCCTCTTCCAGCTCCTTTTGCAGAGCCGGGTCCCGGATCTCGCGGTGCATCATGAAAGTGCAAGCTGGATGTCTCTTGAACATGTTGTAGACCCAGGGTATTACGACGACGACACCCGCGGGCGGACCGTGAAGAGCTAATCGCGAGAGACGCTTGATGAAACTGGCGACGAGGTTGGCGGGCAAATGGGAGGAGGACATGAAGGTGTCTAGCAGGCGGAAGAAACGCGATCGGTGTTTGGAGTGGAGGAGTCCTTCGTCGAGGAGGGAGTACAGCTTGAGGTAGAATGACGGGTAGTCGAGGTTCTTCTCTGAAATTAGGTAGTAGATTCCGGACAGTGCCAGCAATGAGGTTGCGCCGCCCACGTTGTAAGAGTCTGTCAAGAAGTCGGACAAGATTTCAGGCTGCTGGAACCACGGCGCA